CGATAGAATCGGAAAAGACAAAAACCTGGCCCCACGGGCCTTTTGGGACAACGGTCCGGTCGAGTGTTGGCAATTCTCGGGGCCTTCTGATTGACTAAAGTTTCCAGTAATCAAGTTTTGACGAACTCCACCGACTATGGAGACCCCAATCGCTTAACGTCCACGTTCCAACTCGCCATTTCGCCAATCTGTATGTGGTAGAAGGACGCCAGTAAATGAAGCGAGCTCTATTTAGTGAGTCTGACGTTGCAATCCAACAACCCTTCCTCAACTGGACCGATTGAGGAGGCTTTGGTGGAGGAATGAAAGTGGTGATGGACTTCAGCCGACTGCCACTGCTGGCCGAGTTTGCACAGTTTGCGCCGAGCCTGGCTTTGAGAAGAGCTTGAGGCAGAAAACCGCCTGCAGCGAAACGATGTGGGGAATCTGCTCTTCTTTCTTGCGAGTTAGCCCAGAATCGTGACAAACAATTGTCATCCTCAAAGAGTGTCATTTATACATCGACAGCCCGTCTATCCAGGACAAGCTCACACACGCACAGAGGGTTCTGTATGGGAAACACATGAGGACGGTCTAAAGTGCTCTCAACGAGGGTGTTCAACTTGTCGTCAATCCCAAGGCTTCGGCATCAGAGGTTCCACCTGTGCTGTAGCCGCCAAGTAAGAGGCCCCTCAAAAAGGCCGACCACATCGGAATGGTATCAACGACTACTCGCCAAAAAGTCACGTAAGAATCACAAAATAAAGACCTAAACAAAGATAAGAATTTTGGCAAATTTAGGCGGCTTAATACGATGTCGGAGGGACAATTGAATTTCTCAAAATTAAGTGACCAGAAGGCCTTGCGATGCCAATCAATTTCACTTTGCATTCTCGACTTACATTAACCTACCCAGTATTATTTGGTTTCGTTTTAAATCTCCTATGATGAATTCAAAAGCTACTCATTCGGCAAAAAGTAATATCATCCCTTGCAATAGGAAGCACAAGTTCGACTTATCACGGCT